CCAGGAGCATGCAGAGGTCGCAGCAGGATTCAAAACCAAACCAACACTCAGAGAAAGACATTCCCTGCTATCAACAGGCAAGATGCAGACTGGATGTGTCCACACTTTCACAAGGTTTTTCTTCTCAAACTTGTTTCTAGTATTTGAGTAGGCCTTGTCTAATCTGAGTTCAAATATACAGTAGGACGGAGCCAGAGCCAGCACTACAGAAGCTGGCACTGTTACATTTGGGTAAAAAATGGAGGTTGGTTTTAGAAAAAAGGTTTGTAATTCCTATTATTATTTCTGGAAGTTACCTACCATGTTTCTGTGCAGTAGAAGAACCAGAACAGTCTCTAAAATGCTATAATAACATCTAGCCTATTTATTATGAATGATGACACTTTAAAAGAGTCACGCGTAAGGATCCCTAACAATAATAAACTCTTCAACCGCAATGAGAAACTCAAAACTTTGGAACTTGTTCCAAAGAGTCATACAGAGAATGTTAAAGGATGCAAGAAATAGATTAAAATTCAACTGAGTGTGTGATTTCATAAAAATTCAACTGAGTGTGTGATTTCATCTTAAGTTTACTGTACAGTGCAACAGTTTCATAATGTGCTAAAGGTTAGGCTGCAGCTGATGAAATGGGAAATCTAAAGCAACAGCAGAGAAAAGCCATTTTCCTTTGGTTCCCTTTTTGCTTAAAGTGAAATATTCCTTAATGCTTAAAAAGAATTAAGTCCTCAACATCCAGTTAAAAAAGAAAGACAGCAAATAAAGTAAGTGTCCATAAAGAAAAGACCATCCAGACGGAGCTGCTACAAAAACAAGTCAAAAGTTATTGCTCTAGAAGACCTCTCTGTATCCAAATCAGTTGCTGGATGCTTGTCACTTCCCTTTGAATTTTAGTGATTTTTTTTTTCATAGCCATATATGGAATTAACTCAATCAAACCAAACTTGAGTATATGTCAGAAAAGAACCACCTGGCTTTTAGCCACGCTCCTGGAAAAAGTTGCAGTTGTCCAGTTTTCCTGTCCATTAAACTACCTTTAAACATGACCAGGGCTGGTATTTTAAAAGGCTAGCAGGTACTTTACTCAAACCATAGCCATATTCTAACATGAAATTTAGCAGCAGAATCTAGGTAGGACTGAAAACTTTGCTAGCTACTTTGTGGGCACTATGACTTTCTCAAAGTCCTCTGCCTCAGGAAATAACTCTGCTCCTGCAACTCTTGTAAACCCTCATTTGTTCGGTTGTTGGTTTTGGTTTATTTTTTTTCTGTAAGGGCCTGGGTATTGCAAGCACCAATGTTGCAAGGTAGGAAAAGTGCTAAACAACTATTGTTCCCTGTTCAGATGTCACAATTTCAAAGTCACTGCTGGAGGGAGCAGAGAAGAGAAATTACCATCTCCAGAGTTTCTTCCCACTCCTGGGAGATGCTGGAGGTAGCAAATCCTTTTCCAGCATTCCCTTTGTGCTCACTGGCATGTGGATGTGCTCAGCCTAGCCAGAAAAACTGGATTACAATGTGTCGATTGTAAAAGAGGGGGAAGGTTGCTCATGCAATATATTTATTTTGTGTGGTGAGCAGAAGAGAGATGAGGTGGAGATTTATGGATAGACAGGTGTTGACACTTTCTGCAGATAATGCTATTATATAAACGTACAGAATAAAAGCAAAGAAGTTATCTGTTGATGAACAAGAAAGACTCCTGCTAGAGACACAAGGCTCTTAGTTATGATGTTGGCACCTTGAAAGGCTTTTTTGACTGGAAAGGCAAGAGAAAAGGCTCCTGTGCATTATTGTCAGCTCTGTGGTTGGGTCCCTCCTGTGTATGAAATTCTGTATTTGGTTATCTCTCCAGGCATGATTGAAGTTTGCTTTGCTATTAGGTGCTGCTTCGCAATGAGCTGTAGGTATTCATAGGGACATCATAATGTTTGTGATTTGCAATACAGAAATTGTTCATTGATTATGCTGTGGGTAATGCTGTTGCTCAGAGCCCTGTCCAGTCTGGCCTTGAACACTTCCAGTGATGGGGCAGCCATAACTTCTTTGGGCAACTTCTGCCAGTGCCTCACCACCCTCACAGTAAAGAATTTTTTCCTAATGTCTAACCCAAATCTACCATCTGTCAGGTTAAAGCCATTCCCCCTTGTCCTGTCACTACATGCTCTTGTAAGAAGTGCCTCTCCAGATTTCTTGTAGGCAAGATGTTTGCATAGTAGCTTTTAATTTATCATTTCCACAGATGACAAAAGATTGTACTGCAACTTGTATTATCCGAAGAAAAAAAAACCAACCCACCCCCAAAAAACAAACCCCACACCCCTTCCCCCAAAAACACCAACAAAACAACAAAAAACCAAAACGATAACAAAGCAAAAAGATAAGTATTTGTGTTCAGGCTTTTTAAAAAATGCTCTTGATATAAACCCCAGTAAAGCTACTACTTACACGTGATCTTCAGTAACTTCCTATTCTTTAAACTTCTGTCCTCAAAACACTGACTTCTTGCTTCGTGCATAAACCACTTGAAACTAATAGTTGTACAGGTGTGAGTCTATGTGCCCTTATCTCTCTACTGTTCAGCTGATGTCAGACAGAAGGAATGCATTTTGTGTATCTTCTCTTACATTAATGTGTTCAAGGCCAGGTTGTACAGAGTCTTTGGTGACATGGTCTAGTGTGAGGCGAACCTGCCCATGGCAGGGGGATTGGAACTAGATGATCTTAAGGTCCTTTCCAACCCTAACTATTCTATGACTCTATGATTCTGTCACAGAGTTTAAGTGTAAGGCAGGCACATGCACACAATAACTGTAACAAAGAGGCATGAGTGCAAACAGCTATCCATCCTATCCTTGAGCATTCTTTAATTTTTGAGTCAGGGTGGGGGTCTGATCCTGTGTCATCCTGTATGGTATTTTATAAACAGATAAAAAAGGACCTCAAATTGGAAGTGCATATTGGGAAACATATATATGTTAAGATACCTTAAGAGAATCTCTATTAATATACATATTTGCTGATACATGTTCAGTAAATAGGATGCTGTTAATGTCACAGTTGGTCATGTATGGTCAGTAAATATGCACTGAACACTATTAGTTTCAAGGTTAAACTCTTCACAAGGTTAAACTCCATAGCAAAACTGGGATGGTCACTGACTACATTGAAAGCGGCACACATTCAGAAAGGTTCATGGGCATGCAGGGTTCACACGTGCTGTTCTTGCTGTGATGTTTTATTTAAAAAGAGACACGCCATCCCACCACATATTTAATTTTAGTTTCAATAGCTTGCTTTTGTATCAGGCTCACCGGTGGGGAATTTCTGCCTCCCACTCTCTGCGTGGAGACTCTGAACCTTTGCTTTTCCAGAAAACAAACTGTTTCTGGTAGCACTGCATCGATTTTGCTGCAGCTACAGACCCCTCTCTACCTGAACCTTATTTCTGATTTTTCAGATAGTCCCTGCCTCGGCAGCCAGGTGTTGGTCTGTGGTTTCCAGCTGGAAGGAACATTTGCTCACTTACAGATGCCTGGTTTTGTTCATCTCTTTCTGCCCAATTCCCAGCTTGGCACACCCTCAACTCCTGCAGTCTTTGGATGTCCAGATGGGTGTATTTGAAACACATAAAACAGACTTCATGTTGCTCTTCCCATATTTTTGAAAATCTAGTATTTCTTTTTCTGAATAACTGCTCTTTCAAGTCTAATCTGAATAGATTTTCCTAGCCAACTATTTTTTTCTTTTTCTTGTGACTCTGCAAGTGCTTTCTTGCACAGGTGGGGTTCAAGCTGTACAGCCTTTAACAGGTCAGCACTGAATCCCCCAACACGCAGCTATAAACGGCTTATTTTATTTTACGCAGTTTTTGTCAGTTTCCCTTATTTTGCTTTTCAGGCCAACTGGTTCTCTGTGTCTTTGTGCTTTTATTTTTGGTTTCTGTATCTTCCTGTAGACAGCATCATAATTTTTTCAGCAACAGTAATTTCAACTGCTCCCAGTCTCAACCCCCCTCCCGCCCCCTTTCCCTGGCAGAAAAGGATCAGGCAATTGCAATTTTAGCTGCTAGCTACCATAAAACTCGAAAAAAGCACGGCAAGGCCACCTGGCCTGCTTCTGTTCCCTCGACAGCCTTGCAAAGGTCCAGTTAGCAAATTTTCAGAGGCAGGTCAGCAATGGGGAGGGAGGGATGGGAAGGGAGGAAGGGAGGGAGGAAGGGAAGAGCAGTGGTGCCTGGCCGTGGGGTCCCTGATGCTCCCCATGGTGGTGAGGGCCACGGCCCCGTGCTGTCAGCCACTCCCTGACTCAAGGGCTGCTGCGGCATGGAGGGACCCTACAGTAACACCAGATCCCTCAGTTGAACCCAGGGCAGGGCAGCAGCCCCTGTCCCTACCCCACAGCCCCTGGCCTGGCTCCCAGTGCCGTCACGGCCATCACACTGAGCATGGCCAGCACATGGCCTCACAGCCTGACAGGGATGAGTATCACAGGGTAACCCTTAGAAACTGTGTTATTTGAGCAATTTTTAAGCATTTTACTTCAGTGTATGCTGTCATTAATTCTAGTTTATATTCTCTTCACCTTTTGCTTTTTCTTCACTTTTAGCACTTTCACCTTCCCTTTATTTCCCAACTTCTAAAAACTTTAGCTCTAACTTTAGTTACCGAGTGATAATTAGGCCCGGTTTGCTATTTTTAGTTTCTTTTTCCTCCCCTTTTTCACCATTTATTTCCTCCTTCCTTTTTCTCTTCATTCCCTCCCTCCTATTTTAACCCCTGTCCTCATTCTGCCTTCAGTTTTCTTCATCTTTACTCTTCTCCACTCGCGACTCCCCTTCCCTTTCCCGCGTCTCCCCCACCCGCAGCTGCTTCCCGCTCCGGCCAGGGTGGCCGAGCCCTTCTGCTCCCTTCCCCGGTGCCCCGACCCCTCACACCCGGCCACCGCCCCGGCCCGGCCCCGCCCCACACCTCGCCTCAAACCCGGGGCCGCTCCTCTCCTGGAAACAAGTGACGCTGCCGGCGTGGGCCAATCCGGGCCGGCTACTTGCTGTCCCGGCCAGCCGGCGGCGGGCGCGACGCTCCGGCAGCTGGAGCCCGGCAGCGCGGCCGCTTCGCGCAGCTTGCGCGCTGTGCGAGGATGGCGCGGGCGGCGGGGCTTTGCCTGCCCTCCTGTGGCGTCGTCTGCCTCCTCCTCGCCTGGCTCCTCGCTTGCTGCGCCGCCCGTCGGGACCCCTCAGGTAAGGCGGGCGCCTACCCTGCGAGGGGGAAAGCGCTGCGCGGGTGCGCTTCGGCGCAAGGGGTGCGGAAGGCCCATTGCCGTCCCGGCGGGCGCTTGTGAGAGAAAGGAGGCGCTGTGACGGGCCTTCCGCCCCGACGGTTCCCGGCTCCTCCGTGCCTTGCGCTGGGAGACAAAGTCTGACTGCGTGGAAGCAACGTGCGAAACTTACGACGAAGAGCAAGAGAGGAAGGAAAGAAAACCCTCACAGCTTCCTCCTGGGGCGTCGCGAAAGCAGCCGCTGCCCCGCCGCCTCCGGGTGCCACGTTCCCGGGTCCCGCGGTGTCGAGGCAGCGCCGAGCGGTGCGGAGCGGTGGGAGGGAGGCGGGCCTTCGGCATGTTACTTCGGGAGGAGAAATAACCCGAGCTGAGGCAGGGCCCCTGCAGGACGTCAAGTGTCGTTTTCGTTCCCCGCTGTATGCGCGGAGGGAGAGGAAGGAAGCTTACTCTTTTAGAAAACAGGTGGAAAAGTTTCACCTTGAGCAAGTTCTTGCCAGCCAAAGGTCGGTGATAGCTGCTGGGAGTGAGGTTGAGTGCTTTGCTAAATAGTTGCACGTCACATGTTTTTATGTCTTTTGACAGTAATAGGTTAGTGAAAGTTTTGTACTGTGGGGCCGTATTTATTGTGGCATTAAAATAGATTCAGGGCTGCTTTTTCTTGGTTAGCTAAACTTACTGCCACGTGTCCAAGGTGTTCTTACACTGGTAGGGGCATCAGCTTGTATCAGTAAAGTGATCCATGTATTTTAAAAATTGTATACTGTGTTTTATAAAATTTTATTGCTTTCTCTTTTTAATGACAATCTGCATCACAACTGAAGATAAAACTAGGGTTCCTCAACCATTTTTAAAATCTCTGTGTGGCATCTTTGGTGAGGTGTTCATTTTAAAACTCCCAAAAGCAGTGCCAATTATTTTAGTAATACTGCAGCTGCACCCACAAACTGGATCACATATGAGCCTGTCATGCTGTGTATTGTATATGATACACAGTTAAAAAAAAACAAACAGTGCTTACTAAGTGAAAATCATTATTATAGTGTGTAACAGCAGGTAACATGCAGATAGGTATGAAGACAAGATTCTTTACCCAGTAAACTTGCAGATTTATCAGGGGTTGAGCATTGAATCATAGAATCAGAATAGTTAGGGTTGGAAAGGACCTTAAAATCATCAAGTTCCAACCCCCCTGCCATGGGCAGGGACACCTCATACTTAACCATGTCACCCAAGGCTCTGTCCAACCTGGGCTTGAACACCGCCAGTGATGGAGCATTCAAAACTTCCTTGGGCAGCCCACCTTTACAGTAAAGAACTTCTTCCTTATATCCAGTCTAAACTTCCCCTGTTTAAGTTTTAACCCGTTACCCCTTGTCCTGTCACTACAGTCTCTAATGAAGAGCCCCTCCTCAGCATCCTTATAGGCCCCCATCAGATACTGGAAGGCTGCTTCCAGATACTGGAAGTGTTAAAGGAGGAATTCTCATTGATAGGATTGGACTTAGAAAATAGCCTCATTTTATCTCCCCTCTTTTTATAATGACTTTGAAAGAGTAAAGAATACTCACAGAAGAGTAGGAAAATGTGGCTTATACAAAAGAGATAGTGTAATGTACAAACAGCTGTACTTTTCTGGTAGCATGTCTCAATGTGATTACACTTTTAAAAATTAACTTCTGTGAAAGTGATACTGAATGATAATGTGGATATTTGTTTGGTTTTATGCAGGCAGTGCTGCTTTTACCATTCGCCATGACACACTGAACAAGTGCATACATGTTAAAAACTCACGGATAGTGATAGATGACTGCAAGGAGACAAGTGAAGCTTTATGGAAATGGGTATCCCAGAATCGCCTCTTTCATCTGGGGTCCAAGCAGTGCCTGGGACTTGATATATTCACTACATCACTGTCTCGCCTGAAAATGGTTGATTGTAACTCAGAACTAATGCTGTGGTGGCGATGTGCAGATGCTTCCATCCTTGGTGCATCTCAGTACAAAGTGACTGTTAAGAGTACCTATGTAACTGCAAGCATAAATGCAACAGACCAGTGGCGAAGCAACAATTCCTCTGATGTTATATGTCAGTATCCTTACCATGGTAAGTTTGCACAGGGGTTTGGAGGACTTTTCCTTTTGCTTTTCCTTTACCTTTTCCTTTTTCCTTCTTCCTTTTTCCTTTTCTTCTTTTTCTTCTTTTTCTTCTTCATTTCTTTTTCTTTTCCTCTTTCTCTTTTTTTCTTCTTTTTCTATTTCTTTTTTCTTTCCTTTTCCTTTTTTCTTTTTTTGTTTAGAGCTTTTTACTGTATGTCTATGGCAGTAGATTCTTAAAATTCATCCTATGAAAAGACCAATCAGAAAAGCAATAGAAAGTTTTGGTGTAGAGAGATACTGATATTCAAGTACGAAACTTGAACTGTTTTTAATGAAAAATAAATATGCACAACTGAAGAAGTTGTGTTATCAAGTGGCTTTCTTTCAGTTTAAATCCCCCCTCCCATATTTTAGTGAGAGCTTATTTATGAAATATCAACCACCTTTCATCAGAACTGATGCTGCCCTCTTCACAGCAATGTGAATTTCACTGTTAGTGGTATTTGAGGTCATTTTCTTTGCTGGTAGGCTGTACAATCAAATTCAGTGCATGCTGCAAGCTTGCATCATTTTGGACTGTCAGGAACTATCCATTTGCTTTGTTCTGGTAGTCTGTTCACTTGCCATGGAAGCCAGTCTTATCTGAAATCTCATGCTTGCTGAAAGAAGTGGTGAAAACTTGCTTTACTTTAAGAGCAGAATTTTCTTTGTATGTGAATTGTTCGAAGGGGTCCCTCTGAAGAGCCTAGCAGACTCCAGTTTGAAACATTTGTGTTTGAAATGTGTACGTGTTGATTCCTAGAGCCTTGTTCTGTAGTGCTTGGTGCAAACCACCTGGCTTTCAACAGACCAATGTATTTATCCCTAACTTACCAGGAAAGGGGAAACAAGTTTCTGCTGTGTTATCCCCACTCAGAAGAAAAAGTACAGAAAAATATTTTCCTCTCATTTCTTTCTGTTCTGGCGTTGCTGTATGTTACCTGTAACAAGGTACAGTGTTTTAAGACCATGAGTGTGATTTGCATGCTTTTAACTTAACTGTGTCTGGACATGCATTAATACTGATTTGCTGTCCTTTCCTCCCCTAGACAACTACTTCTTTAATTTTATTTTATTTTATTTTTTTCCTGCAGAGGTTTATACCAAAGATGGGAACTCCTATGGAAAACCCTGTGAGTTCCCCTTTCTGTATAATAAAATGTGGCATCATGACTGCATTCAAGATGAAACACATATGGGTGGAAAATGGTGTGCCACATCTGAAGATTATACTCGTGATGGAAAATGGGGAATCTGCTTACAACCAGGCATGTTGGGTTTCTAAACAAACAACCTAAAAGTGTTCTGTGACTTCATGTATGTATGGCTTCACCTTGGTGTAGCAAGTTGCTGTTAAGCTGGGTAAAAGCAGGTCCCTTTTCTATTTCAGCATTGACAGGACAGTCACTGCACGCTTACTCTGTAATATATCTGATTAGCAATATAAAAATTGATAGACCTTCAGTATTACATTTTTTCTTTTGCAGCTTTCATGATGTGTCAGTATAGTTGTAGTTACAAGTTCTTTCTGCTTCCTTTAAACAGAAGATGGTTGTCATGATATCTGGAAACATGATCCAGGGTCTGAAAGTTGCTACCAGTTTAATACACAGTCTGCTCTTTCTTGGAAGGAAGCTTATATTTCATGTCAAAGGCAAGGGGGAGATTTGCTTAGCATCCAAGACGGATCTGAATTAAGTTACATACAAGGTAGGTGTAATTATTCACGTACTAATACCAGGAAATCTTGACAAGCTAACATAAAGTGTAGACAGCATTTTAGTTTCTCTCTTAAAATTCAGGGTTAAAACTTGATTGTACTTAAAATGCATTGTTGCTTTCATTTGTCTGGCAACAATAAGCTGCTAATCTCACTTTAGAGGCTTCTAAGAAAATTGTCTGCATGATTTCATTAGTCATTAGCTGTTGTTTATATTTATAATGAGGAACATCCCCAGAATCTCAGATATGGTCCAGAATGGCAGTTCATGTTTTAGCAGTGTGTTACCCACTTGTTGCTATGAAATGATCTTCATTGATGTCCAATCTTGGAGGAACTGTCAGTGTGCCTTTGGGAATATAAAACCAAAGGACAAACATCTGAATGCATTGGAACTTGTGTGGGTGAATTTCTCTTCAGTACAAGAAAGTTTGCATGCCTGATTATAGTAGCAATCTTTCTTTCCTCAAATGCATATCCTTTCAGATCATATTTTTAATTTAAAGGAGACCAATTAAAGAGAACATTTTATGCTAACTGTTTTCTTAAAAAAAAAACAAAACTCTCTAGCTAAGGATGACATTGCTGAGATCTTTTGGATTGGCTTAAATCAACTGGATGTTTCTGGAGGTTGGCAATGGTCAGATCACAAACCTTTGAATTTTCTCAACTGGCATCCAGGTAATGATTCCGGTGGTATTAACAGTATCCACAACATTAACATTAATAATTTGTTTTGTTGTCCCCCCCCACCTTTTTTCTTTTTTTTTCTTTCTAACACCCCTCTCTACTGGTCTTCTTCAGAACAATCATTGTTATCATATTTCTGTTAGAAGTTGTGAAGCATCTTTTCTCCTTAGAGAATGAATCTTTCTGTACTCATTGTGTATTTATGGATGGTTAGGTTAATAAATCAGTAAAAACCAAAAACTTAAAATAGTATCTTTGAGGTTTATTTTACTAAGGTATCTACAGCTTCCTTAGCTTCTAAATTTCTCCTCCCACTGACAGAATGGCAAAATGGAATTGACTTCCCGCAAATATTACAATTACTGGCATCTGTGTGAGGACTGACATTACTTAGAAGACTGACTTGTGTTTTAAAACTTCAAGGTTGCTTAAATTTGTATTGAGGTGAAGATGAAAGAAGTATAAAAAAACCTTTTTTTAATTTCTCCCAAGTTCCTAGTAGAATTGGTGAGACTCTTGTTTGTCTCGAATTTTCAGTGTGTATTTGTAATATTCTCACAAATACAACATGGATAAGTATAAATGAGAATCCTGGAGGAATAATAATCAGGAATACTGAAGCTAATATTGTTCCATCTTTCAAGCTGAATTTGACCTTTCTAAACTGAAATCCTATTTTTCTATGAGATCAGTTTCTAGAATAGTGCTGCAACGTTAATTCTGTGAAAAAATAAGAAGTGGTTTCTCTTTCTTCTTTGAAAGCTTTACTAGGAAATTTCGATGAGATTTTTCAAAGGTAGTCTGGGTTTTGAAAAGGTTAAGGACTTTTCTGGACTTGTACTGCTGGCTGCATCTTCTTCTGAAACTGTGATGACACTTTAGGACTGTAATGCAGAGCTGGAGACTCAGTTACAATGGTATACAATGGTAAATTTAATCTTCAGTCATGGCAGACACACTAATGTCTACCCTCCTTGTGAAAAATACTTAACTGGTATCTAACAGGAATTTTGCTAGCTGCAATTTGTACCTATTACTTGGTGTTCTTTCACTGTACACCTCTGAAAGGAGGCTGGCCCTGACTCTGTTGTACTCTCCCATGAAGAACTAAGATTCACTCTAGCCTTTTGTATGACACTGAGCAAACCCGGTGCAGGGGAAAGTGGGATACTCTGCATAGGACACAGCTCAGGTTTGCACTGGGGCTCAAAAGGAAGAGAAACCAAAAAAGTTCCATTGCAGTGGGACTCAAAAGAGAAGCTGAGGACTGTAAAAAAGGGTTCTTCTCCATGATATTTTTAATTTGTGGCTTTTTCTCAAGTTAAGGTAGGAGTTGGGTTTAGCACTGAGAGAGAGTGCAGAGCTGTGTTTGTAATGGGGTGGGAAAGGGGTTGCCAAAGGAAACTGAGGGCAGCACAAAGGGTTCTCCCCTGAGATATTTCTAGTCTGGGAAAGTGCTCAGCCAAGGGTTTGTTTTATTGTAAATAGAACATTCCTCCTGGTTCTATGATTAAACACTAGAAAAGAAGTCCATATTCCTTGATTGTGAAACTCTCTTACAAAAAACTTTCTATGGGACCTATGGTAGGACAGGTGCCTCCATTCAAAGCAAGTTATGTTCTTCAAATACAAGGGCCTGTACTATGCAAAATATGTTGTTATTGTATTGAAAAGTAGTAGAAAAAAAAAGCAGCAGTCACTACTACCTTACTGTTTGATAACTTGTACTCTTCTCTTTTTATTTGTTCCTGTCCATAGATATGCAGAGTTTGTCCCCGCTGGATGGGACTAGTTGTGTGGTGATGAATGCTGCCTCAGGTCAGTGGCAAAGTTACCATTGTGGGACTCCACTTCCGTATATTTGCAAGAAGTCACTCAATGAAGTTCCAAGCCTCCCAGGTAGGACAACTTGCATTTTTGTTTTTGTATGTTAATATGAGTGTAATGTACACTTATGGAGGGGTTTTTTTTAATATTTGTTTTCCTAGTTTATGCCTTTTGTTTGTTTGTTTTTTGTTTTTCCATCCCCAAGACTTCTGAGGCATCTCTGCCGAAACACTTTCACAAGAGATTTGGATTTTTACCAGAGCAGAAGCAAACTGTACCTTCAGTGTCAAGATGATGCATCACGAACAGATTTCACTTTCTGCACCTTTTTCATTCACACATAAAGCATTTCCCAGGAGCGTGCTGCCCTTTTCATCACATTCTCCTGCATGGCTTGTGCCTTCTTTTGCATGCGGCTGAAAGTCTGAAACTGGCAGTATCACCTTGAATCTTCTTCATCTCATTCTTGGTGTGTGTTGACATAAAATGGGACCTACCTGAGGCTTGGATCAAAATCTGTTGAATTCAAATAGAAGTAGTTAAGTGATCTTTACTGTCCTTTGAACCAGGCCCAGAACTGAACTGGGAATCAGAGTGAAAGAGTTGGTGGCATGCCCAGTGTGTAATCTTTACTGTATCCGTAACAGCTTTTACAAGAATACTTATTCTCTCCTCCCTATACACACACACAGAGTCTTTCAGTATTTACAGTGTAGCTGTGACATATAACTGCTTCCATGCATGGACATTTGCCTACACCTGGATGTCCAGTCCTTCCCATATGCATGGCCTGTTCTTCCATGTATGTTTTGGCCTTTCTGAGTTTCCAGGGCTCACGCTTGTGGGGCTCTCGTGAGAAAATTTTTACTGGAAGGTGATTGTCCTTGGATGAGGGGGAGGACTAGAGAATAAGAGGGATGAAGCTGTGTTGTGGAGGTGGAAAGTGTCATTGAGTGTCTCTGGCTGAGGCACGTTCTTTCCAGCTCCCTCAGGAGAAGACAGTAAGTAGTTTAAATTTAACTAAACTGGTTGAAGTTTTTAAATGATCCCTTGAAAACTAGTTGTCAATTAACCATCCTTATCTGTTCTCTATCTCCTCAGTGGCGTATGTTTAATTGTTACAAGTATTTATTCAGTGTTTTATTAATTAAAGAACAAAATTCTTGTGGTCGGAGTATTTTATAGTGTGTTTTAAACCAGAAAACCTGTTAATATATCCTTTTTTCAGCATGCATTAGAAACAGCTTGAATTCTTGAATATCTTAGCTTTCAGAAGAAAAAATATTTAAAACTAAGCATTTGTTTAATTGTGAACTATTCAAAATAGGTCTTACACATAGTACTGCATATAAATAATAATGCCCTGTTAATGTGCAAACAAATAAACAGTACAAAACAGGATTTTTTGTTTTTTGAAGCTGCTGTACTGCAGTGAAGTAGCTTGATTTGCCTTTAACTGCTTTTGAAATCTTGCTTACAATTCTGAACATTTTGCTTGTACTAAGACCAGCTTAATGTAATGGATTCCAGCTTTTTACTTTTCACTCTCCTCCTGCCTACTGCATGGCCCCAAAATATTATGAATCCCCATAATGCTGCTCAGTCATTTCTATCTGCTTGACTAAACTGTGACCCTTTCTTAAAACATTAGCCCTGAAGAGGTGTGAACACGTTCTGTGTGCTGCATTCTGGCTGTTTTCAAGGTGCTTCCTGATTTCAAACATGAAGAAAATGCCAACCTGTTGCACTAGCCAATGTAAGACAAAAGCCTCTGGTTCTCTTTCTCCTCACTGTTAGAGTTTTGGAGACACTTGGATACTCGCTGTGATTCAGGCTGGCTTCCCCACAATGGTTTTTGCTACATGGTGATAAACAGCGAGGCATCTTGGAGTACAGCAGATGAATTGTGCAAGACAAATAAGAGTAATCTCATCAGCATACACTCATTAGCAGATGTTGAACTGATTGTCACAAAGCTTCATAATGGTGAGTTGGAATACTTTTAAAGGTCAAGCAGCAAGTGCTGCACACCATAAATTACAGACCACTTTTCATGTTCTAACTGATGTTTGTCATAACCTCTAGCTTTTAAATGAAGGTGCTGATGCTGGGCTTGTACCCAGGCCAATAGTGAGTGGTATTGTTCAGGTCCAGGCCTTCTGTGTTAGTACTTGTTTTGTTTGATCTATTTCAATTCATTTATTTATTTACAGGGCTAACCTACTTCTAGTTACTTAATACCTGGAATTTAATTTTCTCATGGTCGTATGTTTTCATCTGCACGCTAAAACTTTAAGTTGGTTGAGCTTCTTTTTCGTTGTGTATTCATTATTTCTGTTGGGTTTTTTTAAATTCCTGTTTGCTACCTTCTCTGTGAAACTTACTCGTATTTATGAATGTAAGTTAAGAAACAAGAATATACATTGTACTTGTCTCAAATCCCTTTTCTCACTGCAAGGAAAAGATTGGCATTTATGGTGTGCAGTATAGTGATAAAGCCATAATGTTGTTGATTTAACATTCCTTTCCAATTAATTTGAACATTATTTTAAAACCACAGTGTTGTCCTAATTCTAAATTACAGATGCTAAAGAAGAAATGTGGATGGGTCTCAGGAATGAAGATGTACCAACCTTGTTCAAGTGGTCAGATCATTCAGCTGTGGTTTTTACATACTGGGATCAGAATGAACCAAAAGTTCCTTTTAACAGCACTCCTAACTGTGTATCATATTCAGGCGAGGTAGGAATACAGTGTTGGGTTTTTTCTGTTTTTTTTCCATCATAGTAGATTTAACATTGATGTGTGTGAAAGAGGGGCGTAACGCAGATAACTAATTTCATTTTTGGAATAATCTTTAAAATACAGATGATACTATTTGATAAGGAGATTTCATAAAATAATCTGGGTTAGTGCACTTGGTAACTGTGTATTGCAACAAATGGAAGAAATTGCTCACAGGTCTGAGACTGTTGGCCACCCTGTTATCCTTGTCACTCTGCATTTTGTGTTTCCATATTCTTGCATGTCTGTGGTGGAGAGCTAGGAAGGAGGCAAGCCAAACTATCAAAAGGAAAACCTGGCTTCAGTCATATCCAGGACCAATTTGGGCCATCCTATTGGAGGATGAGTAGTGAATTACTTAAGTAAGAGAAGACTGGGCAAATACGATACAGAAGAAGCAAGGGGAGGATGGAGGAAAGAAGACGAAAAAGTTGAGTGGAAAGAGAAGGAGGCTGTATCCCATCTCCCAGATTAGTAGAAAACTGAGACAAGCATCTGCCTGCTGTCAGGCTGGCAGTGGAACTCACATGCCAAGTAACTCTGAGGTGCCTTCTCAGCACTTCCACAGTAAGCTGAGCACAGTCCTGATCTGAGGGAGTTGGCACCACTGTGGCCTTCTCTTCCTTTTTCAGATATGGTCCAGAATCCTCCCATCTCTACATTTGTCAGCTTCCTCTCTTCCTTCCAAACATGAAATGTGATGCTCCAGGGCAGCCTTGGATGCAGCAATCACAAGATGGAAGAATTTGAGATCCTCAGGATAGTGAGAAGAGTGTGCAGCAAGCTCACTGTCCTGGACTTGAAAAGAGCAGACTTTGGCCTCTTCAGGAACCTGCTTAGTAAGGTTCCATGGGATATAGCCCTAGAGGGCAGGGGAGCCCAAGACTCTTGGTTGATATTCAAGGATCACCTGCTGCAAGCTCAGGAGTGTTGCATCCCAACTAAAAGGAAGTGCAGCAGGAGGGCCAGGAGACCTCCTTGGATGGATAAGGAGCTGCTGAGGAAAATTTGAAGGAAATAAGAGGTTTATAAAAGGTGGAAGCAAGGGCAGGCGGCATGGGAAGAACACAGGGATGTTGTCTGGGAAGCTAGGGACCAGGTTAGGAAAGCTAAGGCCCAGTTAGAATTAAACTTGTCTAGGGATGTTAAGGATAACAGGAAGGGATTCTACAGGTACGTAGCAAATAAAAAACAGACTAGGGACAATGCAGGCCCCCTCAGGAAGCTCTCGGGAGAACTGGCTACCCTGGATTTGGAGAAGGCTGAGGTTCTGAATGACTTCTCTGCCTCGGTCTTCACTGGCAAAGGCTCTGAACACAACATCCAGGTCTTGGAAGGCAGGCAAAGGGACAGTGAGAATGAAGACCCTAAGCCCACTGTAGGAGAGGATCTGGTTTGAGACCATCTTAAAAATCTGAACGTCCACAAGTCCATGGGTCCTGATGAAATCCATCCGCGGGTCCTGAAGGAGCTGGTGAATGAAGTTGCTAAGCCACTGTCCATCATGTTTGAGAAATCATGGCAGTCAGGTGAAGTTCCCGATGACTGGAAAAAGGGAAATATAACCCCCATTTTCAAGAAGGGGAAAATGGATGACGCGGGGAATTACAGACCAGTCAGTCTCACCTCTGTGCCTGGCAAAGTCTTGGAGCAGATTCTCCTGGAGAGCAATTCTCCAGTAATGAGTGGTGTCCCTCAAGGATCGGTGTTGGGATCAGTCTTGTTCAACATCTTTGTCGCTGACATGGACAGTGGGATTGAGTGCGCCCTCAGCAAGTTTGCTGATGACACCAAGCTGTGTGGTTCGGTTGATACGCTGGAGGGAAGGAATGCCATCCAGAGGGACCTGGACACGCTTGTGAGGTGGGCTGATGCCAACCTCATGAAGTTTAACCATAACAAGTGCAAAGTCCTACACCTGGGTTAGAGCAATCCCAGGCACAGCTACAGGTTGGGCAGAGAAGAGATTCAGAGCAGCCCTGCGGAGAAGGACTTGAGGGTGCTGGTCAATAAGAAACTGAACATGAGCTGGCAGTGTGCACTTGCAGCCCAGAAAGCCAACTGTATCCTGGACTGCATCAAAAGGAGCGTGACCAGCAGGTCCAAGGAGGTGATCCTGCCCCCCTACTCTGCTCTTGTGAGACCTCACCTGGAGTATTGTGTGCAGTTCTGGTGTCCTCAACACAGAAAGGACATGACACTGTTGGAACAAGTCCAGAGGAGGGCCACGAGGATGATCAGGGGACTGGAGCACCTTCTGTATGAAGACAGGCTGAGAAAGTTGGGGCCGTTCAGCCTGGAGAGGAGAAGACTGCGTGGAGACCTCATAGCAGCCTTCCAGTATCTGAAGGGGGGCTTATAAGGATGCTGGGGAGCGACTCTTCATTAGGGACTGTAGTGATAGGACAAGGGGTAACGGGTTAAAACTTAAACAGGGGAAGTTTAGATTGGATATAAGGAGGAAGTTCTTTCCTGTAAGGGTGGTGAGGCACTGGAATGGGTTGCCCAGTGAGGTTGTGAATGCTCCATCCCTGGCAGCGTTCAAGACCAGGTTGGACGAAGCCTTGGGTGATATGAGTTTGTGTGAGGTGTCCCTGCCCATGGCAGGGGGTTTGGAACTTGATGATCTTAAGGTCCTTTCCAACCCTAACTATTCTATGATTCTGATTCTATATAATCCAGGGCATCCCACCCCAAGTATTTTTACTAGAGGCATTTTGACTTTCACTGTGTGAAAACTCAGCCCTGCACTGTAGAAATTGACATACTTTAGAATTTTAATGCTTTTTTTTTTTCTTTCCCTCTCACAGCTGGGACAGTGGAGAGTCAAATCCTGTGAAGAAAAATTGAAATATGTTTGCAAGAAAAAAGGAGAGATTTTGAATGAAACAAAATCAGATGAAAGTTGTTCATTAGAAGAGGTAATAGGAGTCTGTATCTTTATTTACTTTCACTTGATTCAGAAACCTGCTTAAAATCACTTACTTGCTGCTCTTCCCATTTCCTTCTTGCCTGTACAATAAAATCTGTGGAACATTTTCATTTCATGAGAAAGGATGAAAAAAGGTGAAAGAATTATATAATATGAGCCAAATTTCAGATTTCCCTAAGCAGGTTCTGGATGTGTTACCAGTCTTTTCATTGATGAAAGTATTATGAGCTTGTACTAAGGATGTGTGTTCTATTAATTTGTTTGAAAAAATATAATGATTGCTTTTACTAGGTATATTATTGCTAGCGGCATTTGTTCCTGTGGTTTTTGCTTTACATGTGTTTTAAAATTTAGAATAAGCACTTTGCAACATAAGGGTATGCAGAGATTGATAATTGAGATTAGGTGTCTGTTACAGTTGGCTTTCATTTTTGTTCTTTGACTTGAATAAAGGCGGGGAGGTGGCTGTTGTGGGTTTTTTGGGGGGGCTGTTTTTTGTTGTTTGTTAACATGTTAACAACATAAATAAAGCTTGAAAAGAAGTCTTTTCTGTTTTGAAAAATCTTGGGATGGTATTAGTAGTTATGTCAGAGTTCTTTGGTTCAGTTTTGTGTGGCATATTGCCTGCAACAGGAAAGATGCTTACTCCTTATCTTTCTGCACAATCTTGGGGTATTTGTACTCTGTCTCTTCAGAGGGTGACAGCATGCAAAGTTACAGGTTTCTGTGCTGTTCAGACACCAGTGGCATTGGTAAGCTAGCAAAGAGGTAATGCATTAATGTTCCTTAGAATTTCAGTGTAAATATAGGGGAAAATATTTGAATAATAGAGAAATTTTTTAAGTTCACACATTTTCAATATAAAATGTTTCTTGCAGAAGTAAAGAAACATTAGTAATTCCCTTGTATTATTCCTCTGTTTGAATCCTGGTGTTGATAGAACAGCATGAAAACTCCTATTGTTTTGAATGGCACTAGGCTGTCACCCTTGTGTTTTCTCTCTCTAAAATGCGTGTAGCAGTCAGAAGACTCTGCACTGTCAAGGCAAAACAGTGGTATACTTTATTCTTGTGGTTGCATTATTTCTTAGAACTCTGAATCTGAGAGTTGGTGGTACAGGACCTTGTATGTGATGCACTACATTTCTTCCTTGTATAGCTGTGACAGCTTGGGGTACCAACCAATGTTAGCAATTATTTATTTTCACTTGTTGATAATACCTAAATAAGGTTGTAATGTATAAAGGTGTTTTTTGTTCTCTAACCAGGGATGGGAGAGACATGGAAACTACTGTTACAAGATCTATAAAACAGAAGTTTCATTTGGAGTACAGTGCAATCTTACAGTGATGAACAGGTAAAGCACATCTCTGTAATTTATGGGCATGTTTTACAGTATGATCCTGGAGATACAGTCAGAGATTAAAACCTCTGTATGCCAGCTAGTGGTTTATGAAAAAAAACAGAGATACAGTTGCTTTTTCGCATAACTAGCAAACTGTTTTCCATGGTGTGACAATGGTAAACCTACAGTGTAAAACCTTCTTGGAAGTATGTGAATTCCCAGCCTGCTGACACTGTGCTGAATACTGGACTGCCTGGACCACCACTGGAAGTAACTCATGTAATAATATGCCCGATTTTCAAACTGTCTCAGTAGTTTTAAGTATCTTGCAAATATTGACTCAAAGTAATCTGTGAATTTTCAGATTTGAACAAGAATTTATAAACAATCTAATTAGAAAACATACCAAAGTTGAAGAAAAATACTTCTGGACTGGTTTGCAGGATATTGGCCAATCAGGAATATATTCCTGGGGTACAGTGGATGGGGAAAAAGCCAAAGCTGTGACGTATACTAACTGGAATTCCTTGCAACCAGGTAAATTTAACAATAAAAAAACCACAACATAAAAATACTATTATCTTACATTGCGCAAGCATTGGAGTACCATGTTACAGAACTCTAAGCATGAAATAAAATTGTTATACAGAAATATATGGGTTTTTTTGGACAACCAGCCAACAGTTTTAAATATGTCTTTGGCTTAAATCTTAAGAGTTTTCAGGAGGATGTGTGGCCATGCCCAGTGGAAAGTATCTTGGAAAGTGGGAAACCAAGGACTGTAAAGCCACTAAAGCGTTTTCTGTCTGCAAAAAATACATTGGACTGCCCAAGAAGCCAGAAGTACTCCCAAAGCCAACTGATCCGTGTCCCCCTGGGTGGCACAATGGATCTGGCCTTGCATGCTACAAGGTAAAAAGTAATTCCTATTAAATGCTAATTGTTCATTACTGTTTTGCTGCGTGTGATTAACCATTTTGTGGCTTACAGCTGGTCTGCAGAGTATTTCAAAGATGTTTTATGCTAGGAGGAGGAATTTACGTTGACTGGTTGACTGCCTCCAGATATTCTCATGCATCATACTCTACTGATTCCTGAAAGATGCAGTGTGCCTTTCCCTGCTCTTTCTGTGGCCAGCTGAGTGGGCTGGCATCATTTGCCCTGTGCTGCTGACTCGGGAGCCTTCTGCTGACAGAGGGTACCACATCTGTGTCTTAGCCTGCCTGCCATCAGCTGGCATGCAGAGATACCTGAATAGGTGTCCTTCTCTTGTCCTTTTCCGTTCCCTTTCTACATGCTTAAGAGTGTGAATAGTGGAAGTAAGCAGCCGTGCTGTTAGCTGGAGTGGCTTAAACAGGTTTGTACTTAGAAATGCAGGTTTTCCTCCTTCTGTTAACAATCAAATCAAGTTAAAACTGAGGCTGTTTATTAGATTGTTTTTTCATTATTTCTGGACTCAGTGTCTGTAATGAACTGTGTCTTGTAAACAGCTCATGTAGCAAAGTAGGAGAACTCAGCTTGAATAACAAGGCCGTGGCCAGGGATCCCAAAAGGATGAGTCTAGCTAATGTGCAGCATAGCTTTCCCATAGCTGATAGGACGTGACAGCTGGCAGTTTCTCCAGAACTCTTGTTGACCAAGTGTAGCATGTCTGTGCATGATTTAGCTGATGAAAATTGACTTGGACTGAAGTCAAGGGCATGAAGTGGTTACATTAGCTGAGATGTGTGAGCCAAATATGCAATTCTGATACATACAGGTAGCAAAGGGCTTGCTGAAGAACTTTCTTCACCTGTAGCACCCAAATGGGCCTGGTTTCAGTGAACATTGGGCTTTGCAGTTCACCACAAATTTGAAAGAACAGCATCCCTTAAAACCTGTAATTTGGTTGCAGTTTTGGAATGAGTTGGGTACTTTCTGGTAAAGAAAACCAGAAAGTCTGCCATACGGAGTATGCTGCATTTGAAACAGATTTTGTGAGCTAAAGAGCTGTTGTCAAACAAACTGAAAAGAAGTAAAATAATTGTTAAGAAGTCAAGTTCTCTCCCTGTGGAAATGCCGCTTATACATTCCTGCCTATGGTGGCCATATTTTAGTAGTACAGGAGTGTTTTAAAAAGGCTGTCACTTGTGTCGTTTTCTACTCTGATGTTTGGCTATTGTGAAGTTCTTCCACAGTGAACGAGTGCTACGAACCAGGACCTGGGAAGAGGCAGAAAGGTTCTGCGAAGCCCTTGGAGGCCATCTGCCTAGTTTTAGTCACTCAGAAGAAATCAAGGTGCTTCATTCTATCCTGAGAAAAATAATCAGGTAACAAACTAGCCATGCGCTAAAATTTTGGTTTCAGTTGCATTCTGTGGTAGACGCAAAAGCTGCTGCTGACCCCAGATGGCACATATGAGCTAGTGTGCGGTGACTGTCTTTCCCACAGTGAAAACAGCTAGATATGGCATTTGAACTGTTGGTCATGTCACTGCCTTCCTGGAAAACGTCAAGGGAATACAGCTTGGGCAAATGTTTAACATTGCTAGAGGGAGCGCAGGAAAAGAGGGGTTTACTTTGAGCATCTTCCATTACATGAATTTAAGTCTGTGTTATAAAAGTGTTTTCTTTTCTGCACTGAATTTTGGCACAACTAGATGATGGTTGTTCCTATTCTTTACTAATACATTATTTAGAGATGAGTTGTTATCTAGTTTTTCAGATAAGTCTCACCTTTATTCATGAAATGCTTCCTGACTGAACTGGGTGCTGTTTTTTGAAAATGTGAATAATGTAATGTCCAGCAGTCTGGTTGGCACAGATCCCATTTGGCATAACTGCAGTAACACTGTATGTGCATTAGATGGGTGTGTTGAGGTTTCTGGTATCAACAAATTATGCTACATAATTTATGAGTCTAAGGCTCTATTTTTAATCAAAGGAACTGTCACTGCAAAGCTTTATTAGGCATCGGAGTGATGTCAGGTCCTTATGTAATATGTTTTGAGGGTTTTTTTTGATTGGCAGCATGGTTTTTCAGAACTTTTGCCAGCTTAAACTCAAATGCTGCCAGTGTCTGATTAAATTTTTTCATGAACAGTCTAAATCAGGATTATTTCAGAAGCTGCCAGCATACAACACTGATTACATTTTAAAACTTGATGACTGAAGAGATGCTTTCTTGAAAGCCCAGTGAACTTTATTTAGAAGTGCACAAGTCATGAAAATTACTCAATGTTTATGTTAATAAGAGACAAAACCAAACTCGTATGCTCTCTATATAGATGGTTTAGCTTGTATAAAAGCCACATGATTTCTTACTAAAGTGACTAAAAAGTAGTGCACGAATTATTTTTACCTATATATCTTCTTGTCACAGTATCACAGTATCACAGTATGCTAGATATTGGAAGGGACCTCGAAAGATCATCTAGTCCAATCCCCCTGCTGGAGCAGGAACACGTAGATAATGTTACACAGGAATGTGTCCAGGCGGGTTTTGAATGTCTCCAGGGAAGGAGACTCCACAACCTCCCTGGGCAGCCTGTTCCAGTGTTCCGTCACCCTCACTGAGAAGAAGTTTCTTCTCAAGTTTAAGTGGAACCTCTTGTGTTCCAGTTTGTACCCATTACCCCTTGTCCTATCATTGTTTGCCACTGAGTAGAGCCTGGCTCCATCCTCGTGACACTCCCCCTTTATATATTTATAGACACTAATAAGGTCACCCCTCAGTCTCCTCCAAACTATAGAGACCCAGCTCCCTCAGTCTTTCCTCATAAGGGAGATGCTCCACTCCCTTAATCATCTTAGTTGCCCTACACTGGACTCTCTCCAGCAGCTCCCTGTCCTTCTTGAACTGAGGGGCCCAGAACTGGACACAATATTCCAGATGGGGTCTCATCAGGGCAGAGTAGAGGGGAAGGAGGACCTCTCTCGACCTACTAACCACCCCCGTTCTAATACACCCCAGGATGCCATTGGCCTTCTTGGCCACAAGGGCACAGTGTTGGCTCATGGTCATCCTGTCGTCCACTAGGACCCCCAGGTCCCTCTCCCCTACACTGCTCTCTAACAAGTCGTTCCCCAACCTATACTGGAACCTGGGGTTGTTCCTGCCCAGATGCAGGACTCTACACTTTCCCTTGTTATATTTCATCCAGTTATTCCCTGCCCAACTCTCCAGCCTGTCCAGGTCTCGCTGGATGGCAGCCCAGCCTTCCGGCGTGTCAGCCACTCCTCCCAGCTTAGCGTCATCAGCAAACTTGCTGATAGTACACTCAATTCCCTCATCTAAATCGTTGATGAATATATTAAATAATACCGGTCCCAGTACTGACCCTTGAGGCACTCCACTAGTTACAGGCCTCCAACTAGAGTCAGCCCCATAGACTACAACTCTCTGGCTTCTCTCCTTCAGCCAGTTCGCAGTCCACCTCACTACCTGATCATCCAGTCCACACTTCCTCAATTTAGCCGTGAGGATGCTGTGGGAGACTGTGTCAAATGCTTTGCTGAAGTCAAGGTAGACCACATCCACCGCTCTCCCGTCATCCATCCACCGTGTTATTTCCTCATAAAAGGCTAAGAGATTGGTCAAGCATGATTTCCCCCTGGTGAAGCCATGTTGACTGCCCCTCATAACCCTCTTATCCTTGATATGCCTTAAAATGGCACCAAGGATAAGGTGTTCCATCACTTTCCCAGGGATGGAGGTGAGGCTGACCGGTCTATAGTTACCCGGGTCCTCCTTCTTGCCCTTTTTGAAGACTGGAGTGACATTTGCTTTCCTCCAGTCCTCAGGCACCTCTCCCGTTTCCCAAAGCTGCAGAATGTTTACAAAAACTGTTTTGCAGTTACAAATTTTTGGTTTACTGTACCTTATCTACTGTGCAGCATGAATAGAGAAATAACTTATTTTATTTTCTTACAAGTACTTCCAGCTACTTTCCAGGTTGCAGACCATCTGAGGTATTAATTATAGTTAATGGTTATTTTTTTGTTAGGAGTTTAAAAGCAGAAACTTTTTCTGTCTTCCCAGAAAGTCGGCTGACACACAGTGCTACTGCAATTCCCGTATTTCAGAAAACTTGAACTTAGCCTGTAAGAAGTATTATTCTACCAGAACTAAAATAAGGGGCAGTATATTGAGCCCCGTATAAATTGGCTTTGCAATCAGTGTTGCAGTCACTGCATGTATCAGATATAACCCAAACCACAGTATTTTCATCTGGATTAACCCCTTTTCAAGCACTGTATGACTTCCTGAACAGAAATACTGCATATTTGATGTTAACTGAAGTCTTTTAAATAATGTTTGTTTGTTCAGATAACATAATGTTTAAGTTACTTATCCTTTTAAATTACTTGGAGGTCATGATTATATGAAGTATTTTGGAGATCAAGAGTAACTTGTCTGAAAAGAAGCTCATTTGAGAAAGGAGAGAGGAAACCAAGTGCATTATTTCACCAAGAACAAATAATTTTGGTAGCTGAGAAAATCATCATAAGATAGTGTGTTTAGCTGCTGGAGCGCACTGGCATGCAGTTTGTCCATGTTCCTTGCATTTACTCAGTGCAGACTCTGACCTAAACTATTCATTCAGTGCATTCATTTCAGTCTGGGGAAGGAGCCACACCTTGGCTTTTTTTGGTTTCGGGATTTTTCCCCTTACACAGTTCTCTGGTGACTCATTGAGAGCTGTTTGTTTTTAAATGTTAGCAAAAATCTGTTTGGTTCACCAGGAAGAGGCCAGATTGTCTAGTCCATTCTGTTCCTTACTGGGATTCCACCTTGGAGGCAAATAAGAGCTAACACTGCTTCAGCCAAGTTGGGCAATTGCCATTGGAAAGGAGAATAGAATTTGCCAGCCAACCTTCCCGTGTCTTGAAGAAACAGGAGATAACCTCTTTTCACTTTGAGGGACATAATACAGTCAGGGCAGATCCAGTTCAGTTGCTTCCATTCTTTTAGGATTGTTTTTGTAAACATTCTGCAGCTTACAGCTTGCAGCGACGCTGGACATAGAGTAACAGCTTGGACTGGTTAGAAATAACATTTCAATGAGAACACCTTACTGGAAAGAAATCCATTG